GCATTTCATTTCCTAGTTTAGAAGAATAGCATCAGTGCCTTCGCCTGTTTGTACAGAAAAAAGTACAGGCTGACTGGGGCCACAGGCAGAGAAAACAAAATCCAACAACTGGGCTCTCTTGCTAAAAACTCTGGGCCAATATCTCCCTTTTGGAGCAGCTGTAGCCAGGGCAAGCTAATAGGGAGGGAAGGCTGGGTTTTTTCCAGGGCACTGCCTTTCTGTCTACGTGGAGACTGCACGAACCAAGAGCAGAGAGAAGGAAACAAGCTAAATATGGGTCAAAGAGCAGTACTGATGTAGGTTTTGCGGGGCGGGGGTTGGGACTCTTGCTTTTCAGCCTTGAATGGGGAGAAAGGGGAATCAATGTAGTTTGATTGGTACGGATCTTAACCAATTTCCTGTAAAGTTTTTAAAAATGTATCTTTCACCAAGGACTGGCCATGATGCACCAGCTTTAGGTCACAATGAAATCCTCCAAACGTCTCTCTTTTATATTACTCCTTTTTCTGTCACCATAACCCTTCCCCCAGTCTACTCTCCAAAAATAGCCCAGCATCTGGACAATTTTCTATAAAGAGAAACTCCTTTACTCATAGTTCTAACTCAAAATGCAGATGGAGTCTCTTCAAGGTTTCTGTAAAAAGAAAAAAGCCCCCATGGACAAAGACCAAACACTAAAAAACCTGAACCCCAAAGGTCAGTTTTCTCCGAAGTTATGGGCACTTGAATGCAGATTAGAGGGAGAACAGTAGGCAGAGCTGCTGCAGCACACAGTGAACAAAACACTACCCAGGAGGCTGATGGACAGACAGACAGACAGGACCAGGGAGGGATGAAGGCAGCAGCCAGGACATGGCAGCCAGGACATCAGCTCCTCAGATGAGGAGAGATGGCATGCCCCTCCCTCCCTGGCCATCCAGTCAGTTGGGGTTACTTCCTCCTCCCCACTTGCTGTGGCCTATTCCTCATTTTCTTCACTTACATTTGCTTTGGTCTCTTCTGAACACTGAGGTGGTGAGAAAATTTGCCCTGAGGTTAAAGAGGCACAATTAAAGATCCCACCAAAGCTTTCAGGCTGCTCTCTGGGGCTCAGGGTCATAACAACCATCATTCAATGCACATCCACACCAAAATGAGCAATGTGAGCTCCAGCTAGTAAGGACAAAGGAGCCATGATTCTCCTAAACTAAATAAAAAATCTACTTCTGTATCAGAAAACAATTCCTAAAACAAGAAGGTGCCTCTAAAACATTTTAAACCATTTAAATTAACATTTAAGTGAAAAAATGCTTTCCAATGAAAAGGTATCATATTCAACCAATACTTATCATGTTAATCTGAATCAAAACATGTAAAACAGATAAAATGAGGGCAAAAACTAGAATATAAAAGCCTATTACTGGCAAATCAACTACTCCAGTTTCACCTAACTGAATAAAGTACAAAAATAAAGAACAAAAATGATGACAAACAGAAAATATCAGATGTCTTACTGTATTTATAACCAATATTGTTACCCTCCCAATTACAACAGAGCTTATACCTGTTAGTTTTTTGTGATGGCATTCCTTTAGAATAGTCCCAATAAGATGACTCAGGGACTTCTGAAAAACTAGAGACAGACGAGAAAAATGATCCCATGCCAACCTTCCAAACAAGTCCTGGCCCAAAGCTTGTTTCTGCCTCTTACACATTCAAAGGTATGACACACTCCAGAAGAATAAGAAATGTACTATGCAGAGATCCAGGGTATTGAAAGCTCCTGGGAGCTGGTGAGGAGAGAGCTAGGACTGCTCATTCATGATTCTACTCCCACACCTGGGAGGTATGCCATAAAGAACCTGTCAGGTGGACAGCCATCATGCTGTTCTGAGATCAGGAAGGCTGACTGAACTTACAAACCATGTTCTGGTCCTTTTACTGTCTCTTCTAGAAGATCCTTCTTATCCCAAGTCTCAGTCTTTCCTACTTCCATTTAAATTCATTTCTTGTTTGTCTTTACTAAAATGAAGAACAAGTTATTGCCATACTTCTAGGAATAACAACTCCCTAAATGATAAAACTATTTAAAATGGACAAGAAATCAGCTGCCAAAACTATATTACATTTCTTTCTTACTAAGTCCTTTTTTTTTTTTTTTTTTTTTCTGTAATGATTTTTTGTTTCTCTTTCCTAAACTTTTCCAATTTCCCTACTTTCCTTGCTGACCAGAAGATCTAAACAGCACAGAGGATCTAATGAGAACATGACTTACGATGATCTCATTGAGAAGAAACCATCCTACCTGGGACTGAAGACTTCTTTAATCCATCTTCTAAGCTTTCTCTAAATCCTATCAGGATCCTGCTAGCAGCACACCTTAAAGAGCTATAAATTGCCACTACCAAACAAATCTCAAACTATTCATCCCCTTCCTAAGGTGCAACAAGGGTAGGTCAACAGAGATATATAGCCCTAAACTCACCTGCCCACCTGTTGATCACAGCATTGTAGAGGCTTAATGAAGGTGAGATGCATTACATTTGTCACTTGCCCTAGATCCACTCAAATCCATCACTATGTCACAGCAAGAAGTTAAATTGATCTGACAGGATTTGCTCTTCTTCACAAACCGATGTAAGTTATTACTCAGTACCCATGCTCTTTTAGCTGTTTGCTGATTGATTATCTGACGATCAGGTCAAGTATCTTCTCTGGAATCACAGTAAACTAACAGGTCTATAATTTCCAAGATCATTCGTATTCCCCTTTTAAAGATAAGCAAGACAGCAAATGCTTCTTCCTGAGTTCTCTAAAGCAACAGCTAATGCTTTGCTAATAATGAACCAGGGCAGCCAATTCCTTAAGTGCCCTTGGAATCACATCATCAAGGTTCATTGATTCTGGAGATAATCTTTAATCAGGCTCAGATACTGGTAAACAACATGAAGCTCTAACTCAGCCAGGGTCTAGAAAGTCTTGGTGAGTAAGTCTGGGAAAAAAGTTAGTGGAACAAGTGATTTAATCTGTACTGCACTACATCTTCAGCATTGCAACAAATAAGTAAATAAAAAAGAACAATGCCCTTGAACATGAAATCAAAGGTGACACTGACAGACCAAACAGAGATCTCAATCATGCTCCAACTTCTCGAACTTAGCAGGGCCCTCTACCAGACAAGGGAAGAGAGCTACATAATGATCTGAGCTTATAATCTAACTGTGAGGATAAGAAGCATACATCCATAAGCATGTGACAGGAAGCAAAAAGCAGCAAATGCCCTAAGGGAGAAGTCAAGCGATTATGAAGGTTCAGAAGAAGGATGAATCATACGCAGTAGAGACATGTTAGAGAGTAGACTCATGTCCCACTAAGGCTTACTCAGTTACTGAAACCTAACCTGTAAGGGAAATAATATACAGTATTAGGATACGGATCACAGAGTTCCATCTTGGGAGACTATACAACCAAAGCCACAACCTACCACTCAGGAACAACCACCATGCCAGAAAAATTTCAGTAGTTAGAGGAAGCAGAGATGATGACCCAAGAGCGTAGGCAGGAACAAGAAGCAGAGAAAGCAAGTGTGGCTTGAGTAGCACCCAAGCTGCATTCCCTTTTATTCAAAGTTCCTTCTCTTGTGGCATTATCCTCATCCAGCCGGTCCTCCATGGCCTTAGTAAGCCTGACTCCAATGCCCCAAAAGTAAACCACTGCTTTAACAGAGAAGAGGAAAGAGGAATGAGAAAGGAAAAAGGAGTTGTGATATCTGCTTTAGGTGAGACAATATACCATTTTAAAAACAAATCTCTTTCTGGAAAAAACAACCATGAAAAATAAAGCCAGTTATCTCTGGATGAATTCCTCTGCTCTCTGCCTCCCAAGGGCCCAATGCTGAGGTTCTCTTCTCCCCATCCTGAAAGTTGTTCCCTGATCAACATGTCTATGCATTCAAATATTACACATTCTATAACAGAGAAGAGTGACAGACCTACAGCCAGTATACCCAAAGCTCTCACATTACAACAAACTGTCCATCAAGCCCCAATCATTTCCTTAAAGCAAACACCAAGCACCTCAATGGTACCCACCACAGTTGCCTCTCTGCTGCTAAACCAAGTTTCCTAGCAGCCTTACCTTTAAAGGTAAAAGGTCTTTTACACAATAGGTAACTAAGGAAAAAAAAAAGCAAGCAAAGAAATTTTCCTTTCCAACAAACCAGCAATGGTACTTGTTCAAGTTAATCACTGCATAAAACATCATCCCAAAACTTGTGGCTTAAAGTACCAATAATCACAGTTATTCTGAGTCAGGAATTTAGGAGTGGCTCAGGTGACTAAGGGTCTCTCCTGAAGTTGAAGTCAGATGTCCACTGGGGCTGTAGTCATCTGAAGGCTTGACTAGGGGTGATGGATTCATATAACTGGCAAGTTGATATTGGCTTCTGGATTACAGCCTCAGTTTCTACTTGCACCTGCCTCCACAGACCTGCTTAAATGGCCTTGTAGAGCATGGCAGCTACTACTCTGGCTTCCACCAGAGCATGTGATCTAAAAGAGCAAAGCAAACTGCTGTACTTTTTTATAACTTAGCCTGAGAAATCACACACTGTTTCTTCCACTATATTCTATGCCACTATATTTCATTGCTAGATATGAATACCAGGAGGTTAAGATCACTAGAGGTCATCTTGGAGGCTGCTACCACAGTACTACTTCAAGAACTAGCAGCAATGGCACGAGAAGAGAAATAAAGAAAAAGAAAAGAAAGACAAAGGAAGAGAAAGAAGGAAATGTTTTCACCCCAAAAGCTGAGACAAAGAGAAACCATGTGCTTAGTTCTTCCCAGAGACTTCTCAGCCTACCTTGCCCTGGCATATCTGGATCAAGTTCTGCCTCCTAGAACTCCAGATGAGAAGTTAAAAGCCAGGATATGAGAAAATACCTCTGGGTCCCAGGAAGCAAGATTCTCCTCCCTCCCTCCTTGCCCACCCCACCTTTTCTGAAGCAATGAAACATTACCTGAGGATGAATCTGTGGCTTGTCACACGTGGCCTCAAAGTCCAGCACTAAAAAGTAGTGATACCTCTGGGGAGGGAAGGACACCATTGCCGCCATGGATGCGCCAAAGCCGTGGGCCGCCAGCTTTCTGGTGGATATGGAGCAGAACTCCGGAACACCACAAGGAGAAAGTAAGTGGGAGCCCAGCACTTTTCTTGCTCTTGAAAGTAAATATGAAGAAAATCGAGCTGCTCCAGTCTGTAAAGGTGCTAGCATTGAACATCCAGAAGCATCTAAAACTTAGGGGAGGAAAGTTAAAAAAAAAAAAAAAAAAAAAAACAGCCTGGGTTACTCCCCTCCCACTGTGGCCCTATTCCATCAAGTCTTAATCTTCAAGAATATCCATGCAATATAAGCCACTCCCCAATGTTTCTGGGCCCTTTTCTAAATCACAGTATTCATTACTAAAGTTCAAGACCCTAACACCAGCACCTGCAGCATTTTTACAGTTCTGAGTCTCCCAGATCCTTCTCAAAACAATATGTAACACTGGCCTTCATCTTTAAACAGAGTTCTAACTCAAAAGAGAACAGAGAAAACTCCTGTGGTCATTTCTCTGGTGACCACAGTTAACTTTCACGTTAAGGGTCCCAAAGTAACATTAAATGACCCAGTTGCACAATCAGTCCCAGAAGCTAAGCAGACTAAGACAAACATCAGCAAATGCCCACAGCTCTCTCCTCAGCTCCACTGCCTGCCATGTGCCCTTGGCTTTCCTGTCCGTGTACGATATCTCCCTTTTCCCAATCTCAAAGTGTGAAAGCAAATAAAGCCAATCCCAGAAGAGTATGCTTAGGACACTGGCTATTCCCCAACCCCCACAATAGCCAGCAACACCCTGGGGGATGGATGAACAAGGCCTGGAGAGCACAGCTGGCAACAGCCTCAGGCCTCCTCATTTGTGGCCTTGAGTCTCACTTTCTCCTAGGGCCCCTGAATGGCCCTGAATAACTGTGGGACTTTTTAAATAGGGAAGCAAAAAGAGAAAACCCAGATGTGGCAGTAATGGAAGCATTACTAAAAGTCTAGTAAAGTTTTCTGAGTGAACATGTGCAAAAAGAAGAAAAAAGAAAAAATTCCAATCACTTTTCCTGTACGTTTTCCCTTTAAATTTGCAGTATGTCTGTTTATCAGAGGACTAAATACTATATAAAAATCAAAGTCTAAGTTTTACTCACCTTTAGCACTCCCCCAAAGGAACAAAAGTAGAAATTCTGTCCTTCCCACTTTTATACTCAATACTCAAATTTCCCTTAACTTTAATCCTCAAACACCAAACCCTACCACCCGATACAGAAATAAAGAGTTTATACTTCCTGAAGCACCCTTCTCACAGAACCAAAGGCTTGCCTCTCAGTGGCAACTAGTGAGTACCAGGCTCCCTCCACACAAACTGGGAAACAATGCCCTGTGAAATCCAGGACATATTCAAAGGCACTGAACTTCACATCTACCTGAACAGAAAAGGACAATATCAGGTATCACTTCTAAGCTCTCTCCTGACTCAGTGAATGAGTCGCAATCATTTGCCAGCATAGTTATCAAAATATATGCTTGCATGGGTACTCAGATTCCCTATCCCTATACTGAGATGTGGGGACTGAGTGCAGACCAAAAGAAATTTTAACTGCATTCCTCATGGATCCTGCACAAGCACAGTGCTTCTTACCATTGCTTTAGAGCCTCCCCCAAAATGTAGCCCAAACTCCTCAGTCCAGGTAGACAAAGGCTGGCCCAAGTCCAGGTAGACAAAGGCAAAAGAGCCAATACCCCTTTGAAAGCCAGAATCCAAAATAACTCATCTCTTCACCTACTCTTGAACAGTACTGGGAAATCTTACTGAGATGGAATATGAATGTGTTTGCTCACACATTCCAGTTTGTATCCAAAGTCCCTCGGGGCCTGAGAACTCTTCTCAAATTCCTCAAAGTCACACCACATATAAGGACTTTTTTAAACTCCTAATGTTTCCAATTACTATAATGTCTATAGTAAACAGAGTATATACAGTCAGCCAAACACTGCCACATACTCCAGGTAATTAAACTTCTTGCTGAACAAAAGCTTCCAGATTTCAGTCCTGACTTTACCACTTATCAACCACAGCACCGGGCCAGGGATTTAACTCAGTGGTTCCAGTCACCTGCCTCTCAACCACAGCACCTTGGGTAAGCTGTTCAATTCCTCACCTGTAAAATGACAATAATAACAGTACCTACTGCTTAAGTGAGAATGAAATGAGACAATACATGTAAAGCACTAAAAAGTGTCTAGCACCTAAATGCTCAGAAAACATTAGCTTAATATTACAACTACTACTATCCAATTGGCTATGTCAACCTGGCCAACCCTGGGTCCCCGTAACTAGAGTCTATAAGTCCAATAATATATAAGACATTATAAGGAGTTACATCAAATTTCCTGCTCTAGACCTCCCCTAGGTCATTCCATCCATCCATCTATCTCCTAACTCATGGACAACACATTGATGTCCAGAGGTCTTATTGCCTATAGGCCTTGTTTTCTCACCTGATTTCACCTACATGAAAAAGCATTTCTTTTAGAAAATCTTAGGTACAGACCTTAGGAAGCCAACCCTCCACATGTCACTAGTCACTGGGTTCCATACTTCCTTGACTTCCAACAACCAAATTCAGCCCAAGGGAAGACAGAGGGAAGCTATTTCTCTTTCTTTCCGGAAAAAAATTCAATCCTAAAGCCATTAAATGCAGCAGGAGAAAGCAAGTATCTATACCAGCTGGGAGAGCCAAAAGGGTAAGGGGCACATCAGAGAGCCCAGGCAGGGCGAAGAAGGCATCCATGCAGAGGTGGGAAGCTGTGCAGCACATCAGACCAAAGGTGGGTGTGGAGGGCACTCACATTGAGGGTGGTCTAATGTGGAAATTCATAAGCAGTATAAAAGAGACAATCATGAAGGGTAAAGGATAGTGGATAGCAATGGGAGATGAGTTACATACAGAAGAAATAAGCAAAGCGTGTATATTAAGGATAACAAGAACCAGGTTTCTCACTGTTACAGAAATGATCTAAAATATGGAAAGAAAGAAAATCTGTGATTGATTGAAATTGGAATTGGCAGTTAAGAGTGTGATCTCATGGTTTCTGATGTAGATATGTATAAATAATTGTAGCTATAAATACTGTATGAATATTTATATATATAAACATTCCTCATTTAACAACTGAGTTCCATCCCTGCATCTAGGTCATTAAGTGAATTGGTTGTTAAATGAGGAACTGTATACAGTATGTACATTACAATATTCAGGATGAAGAAACAGTCAAAGGAAACTCCAACTTGATGACTCTGCTTTTATTTGCATAACTTTAACATGCAGTACTGTAATGTATACCAGAACATAAAACTATAGTACTGTAATGTACAGTACAACCAGCAAAAATTATAACACTGTACAAACAAGATGTACTGTACCAAAAAAAGACACTGAGGCTCTAAACAAGAGGTACAGAAATGTACAAAAAAAAGACAGGTTGTAAGTCTAAGAGGTAGGTCCTAAATCCAAACAGCATGCCTCAGTCACAAGTCCAAATAGTAGTTAAACAGGTAGGTTGTTAAATGAGGAATATCTGTTCTCACACACAAATATATACACATACGCATATAAATTTTTTAGCTCAGTCTGAAGAATTGTCAGAGACCAGCAACACTCAACAGCAATAACTACATCGAACATTCTGTTGCCTTTTAAATACCATCCTCCACTAAAAGAACCAGAACTCCTTGGAGAAATGGCTGATTCTAGGCAGTAGTAGGTTAAAAGTACAAGGATAAGCTTGGAACATCCTGTTCTACCAGAAAGCAAGAAATGCTCAAAGAAGTATGGGAATATACCAAAAGGACACAAAGCCACCTTGAAAAAACTCCCACTGGCCAATAAATAATGAGCATAAGAGAAAAAAAGGCGTTGAAGCAACTTGGAAAAAATGAGTTCATAAATAAATAAAACTAAATTTTATCAAGGGATATTTACATAGATTCAATGTACTGTATCTCCCTACAAATTACTTACTAATTATAACAGTAAGTAGTCTTATAATGGAGAAACCTAGCAGACATCACTTCAATCAACTGATCAAAAATAAATATCAATGCCAGGCATGGTATTGCACACCTATAATCCCAGCAGTTGGAGCGTGAGGCAGGAGGACTGCTGTGAGTTCGAGACCAGACTGTGCTACATAGTGAATTCAAGGCCACCCTGAACTACACAGCAAGACTCTGTCTCAAAAAGACACCCCCAAAAAAATCATTAATAATGGGATAAATTAAAATTGCATGATTATCTAAAAGGATGCATTTATAAAAGGAAGCCATCATTTGTGACACTCCAGTTAAAGAGGCATAATTTAAATCTAATCATGAGAAAATAATCAAACAAACCCTAACTGAGGCACAATCTACACCAAGAGCCTTAATGTTCAAAAATATCAAGATCACCAAAGTCAAGGTAAGTTTACTGAGGAAAGTCTAAAGGAAACTAAAGAGAATTGATAACTAAATACAACTCACAATTCTGAATCACATCTTTCTCTGCCTTAAAGGATATTCCTGGGACAAGTGGCAAAATTTGAATGGGATCTGTAAGTTAGCTAGAGTTAATGTATAAATATTGATTTCCTGTTTCTGATGGTTGTACAATGGTCAGATAAGAAAACATCCTTATAGGAAATACATGCAAAGTAGTCAGGGTGATTCGGCATTAGTTTGGGAACTTAACCTTCAAATGGTCAGGAAAAATTCTTTGTACCGTGCTTCCAACTTTTATGTAAATTTGGGCTGTTTTAAACTTTTAAAAAGTTATTTTTAGATTCTTGTGCAGGGCTGGGAGTATAGCTGGGAGTGATAAAGCATTTGCCTAGCATGCATAAGACTCTGGGTTTGATCTCCAACACCAATAAATAAATAAAATAAATTCCACATGCAAAATGATTTAAAAAAACAAAAAACAGAACAGGTGGTAGATGAGAAAGAGGTTTCCCCATAGTGACCACAGAAGGTGCTCTACCAGAGGCAGCCCTTAATGCATACCGCAGCCCAAGGAGTCTCTTACTCTCTCCAGCTGAGTCTGCCTGAGAAGAGCCTCAACACTCACCTCACTGGCATTGCGACTCCCCCACCATGGCCTTCTTAAGAAATACTCCCACACTCCCTGCAGCAGCTCTTGTTCCCCCAGTAACCTGGAATGTCTATTTTTTA